ATTGCACATGTAGTTTCCTTGGTATAAATAGATAGGGCTATTAAAGTTTATTATTTTAGGTTTATTATTTTTGTGTCAACTTCATTAAGTTATATTTTTCAATAAATATTTTTTGTGTTGTTTTTAGGTTTTTTGTCATAGGGTACATGCGCTCACTAAAGAGGAGATACAGAGAAAAGGAAAGTGAAAAATCATCCCAATAGAGGGGGTAACCACGCTGCAGTCCCTTCTCCATTCTCCTCTTGGGATCGTGGGCATGCACACACATGTGCTTGGCGTGAATTTCAGACACCAGGTCTGGGTCTTGAACTACAGTCAGCCATGTGGGAATCCAGTGCTTTAACTGGCATACCACCTGCTGGCCCTGTTTTTTTTTTTTTTTTTTTTCCCAGTGCTGTCACCTTTATTTTTTCAAATAATTTTGTCTATTTAAATTGTTTATATAAAGTTTACAAGATTCATTTTTTGTGTATTATTTCTATCTGGTGGGAACCCCCTTTTCCTTCTTTGTATTGGCAGTTTGTGTTCTTTCTTTAATCCATCCAGGTTGAGATTCGTCAATTTCATTGATGACTTTGTTCATTTTCTTTATTGTGTGTCCTTCGTCCATCTTATGAATGCATCTGGTCTCAACTTTCTTAATTTTCTTCTGTGTTTTGGGTTTTCTTTGCTGATTAAGATGGAGACTTTGATCACCAGCTGCACCTCTTCCCTGATGTGGCACCGCAGCTACTTGTCTCTGAGATCTGCTACGTTGTGTTTTATCATCATGCAACCCATACTTTCTAATGATCATGTGACTTCTTTTTTAATACCATTATGGTCAGAAAATGTGCTTTCTGTGCTTTCAGTGCCTTTACATTTATTGAGACTTATTTTATGGTCCAGCATATGGTTTGCTTTGGTAAATATACCACATAACTTAAAGATCTTGTATATTCTGCAGTTCTTGGATACAATGTTTTATCGATTTTAATTAGATCAGGGTGATCAGTAATATTTTTCAGATTTTCTATATCTACTGTTTTGTTTCTCTAATTTTTATCAGCTGCTGAAATAGGGATATCAGAATCTCCAGCTATTACTATGAAATTGTCTTTTTTTCTGGGTAGAGGTTTATGCCTTAGGGTGTGTGCACTCACCAGAGAGACAGAAAGACAGAAAGTAAGAAATCAGTCCCCAGAGGGGGGAGCCGTGCCGCAATCCCTTCTCCCTTCTCCTCTCGGGATGTTGGTCATGCACACACACAAACCCAGCATGAGGTTTTTATTTATTTATTTATTTATTTTTTTTGAGAGGTTTTTGCTATAGGGCTTGTGTGCTCGCCAGATAGACAGAGAGACAGAAAGCGAGAAATCACCCCCTAGAGGGGATGGTCACGCCGCATGGGCATGCACGCACATGTGCCCGGTGTGAGTTTAAGCCACCGGGTCCAGGATGCAAACTGCGGTCGACTACGTGGGAGTCCAGCGACATAGCCATTACACTAACTGCTGGTCCCCCCAGCATGAGTTTTAAGCCGCCAGATCCGAGACTGGAACTGCAGTTGACTCTGTGGGAGTCTAGTGATGTAACCATTATGCTATCTACTGGTCCTGGAATTGTCTTTCTGCTTGTTGTATTTTGAATCCTGTCCTCAGGCACATACACACAGATGCTGTGTCTTCCTGGTGAAATGCCCTTCCACTGGTATGCGAGAATGATGTGTGTCTGTATGTGCTGTGTGCTTGTGTAGGCATACACACGTCTGCATTTACATGTACAGTCTATATGTGATACATAACGAAAACACCATGAGGTAGTATCCTTTTACTTCAAACAGTTGTGTATATTCTAAAGATGGGTGGCGGAAAGAGTCTTTATATTTACTATTTCTGGACATTTGTTCCTCAAGACCTAGGTTTTCCTGTGGTGTCATTTTCTTCAGCAATTCTTGTATCTAGATCTACCTGTGGGGACCACAGAGGGTGGAATGATTACGTCATCGCTGGACTCCCATGTAGTCAACTGCAGTTTGAGTACCAGACTCAGTAGCTTAAAACTGATGCTGGGCGAGTGTGCGTGCATGGCCAAGATCCTGAGAGGAGAAGGGATTGCGGCATAGCCATCCCCTGGGGGGTGGGGGGGATTTCTTGCTTTCTGTCTCTCCATCTCTCTCTGTCTCTTTGGCAAGCACACGCACCCTATAGCAAAAATCTCTCTCTAAAAATAATTTAAAAAAAAAAAAGATTTACCCTGTGATGAATTTATTAGTATCCACTCCGGAAATGTTTCTGAAGAATATGTTTTTTGGATATAGAATTCTGGATAGTTCCTTTCACTCTAATTAACAGTATCTTATGGCGACCGTTTTCTGAGGAGAAAGTCACAGGTATTCAAATTGTTATTCCTCTGTGTATAATGTGTCTTTTTTTTTTTTTTCTTTTTAAATTTTTTCAGAAAGCACATGTGCTCACCAGAGACAGAGAGAGGGAGAAAGAGAAAGCATTCCCCATGGGACATGGTCACACTACAGTTTCTTCTCTTCCATCTCTTCCCTCCATCAGGATTTTAGCCACTTAAGTGCATGTGGCTTGCAAGGTTCTCAAAGTCTGGTACTTAAACTGTGTAGTCAGCCATGTGGGGTCTAACTGCTAACCACAGGTGCTAGGCTGGCCTTCCTTTTATCTTTTTATTTATTTGTTTGTTTGTTTTTGAGAGAGATTTTTGCTATAGGGCATGTGTGCTCACCAGAGAGACAAGCAAGAAATCACCCCCCAAGGCGGGAATGGCCATGCCACAGTCCCTTTTCCTTCATCGTCCTCTCAGGATCTTGGGCATGCACACATATGCACCCGGCATGAGTTTTAAGCCACCAACTATGTGGGAGTCCAGCAACATAACCATTACACCATTTACTGGTCCTTTGTTTTGTTTTTAGAGAGCGTGTTCCTATAAGGCACATGTGCTCATGAGAGAGACTGAAAGACGGCGGGAAATCATCCCCAGGGAGGATGGCCACACTGCAATCCCTTCTCTTGGGGTGTTAGACACACACATATGCACCCGACATGAGTTTCAAGTAGCTGGGTCCAGGATTTGAATCGTGGTTGGCTATGTGGGAGTCTGGCAACATACCCGTCTGCTGATCCCTATTTGTTTATTTTTAGACAGATTTTTGCTATAGTTCATGTGCACTACTAAAGAGAGAGAGAGAAAGTGAGGCATCACTTCTTTCTCCTCCATTCTCCTCTCCGGATTTTAGGCATGTATATACACACGCCCAGTGTGAATTTCAAGCTGCTGGGTCCAGGACTTGAACTATGGTTGGCCATGTGGGAGCCCAGCACCATAAGCCACCTACTGGCCCATTCTTTTTTATTTATTTATTTTTTTAAGTTTATATATCTCTTCCATGAGTGAGAGAAACAACGCTCCCATCTGCACCCCCCGACAGGGTCTTTGATCTCTGTGACCCACCCCTAGCCTGAGCCCATCCTGGCTCATGGGCACACAAATGCCCAGCGTACTCGGGAGATCTCCAGACACGAGCCTTGCAGAGCTTTGTGTTCTACTGGTGTGTCACAGTTTACTACAGCAGTGAAAATGTGCAGATTCAAGAAGTTCGGTGAAGGATTAATTCACCATAATCAAACTACTGATAGCCACAGTTAAACTACTAAAAAAATCATGGGACTGGTTTTTCAAGTTTGCTGTCGTTTTTTCTCTATCTTATTCATTCCTCTAAGCCCGTCTAGTGCATTTTTTATTTTAGGTATTATATTCTTCGTTTGCAAAATTTTGCTTTTGGATCTTTTAATATTTTTCCTTTCTCTTCTGAGATGCCCACATTTTCGTGTATTTCATGTATATTTTTCCTTGCCTTTTGGAAGATAGATATTAAGGTCCTCATATGGTTATTCCATCCTAGTTAGAGCTGACAGCTATTGGCTGTCTTTTCTTTCTTTTTAGATATATATTTTTTAAAGTTGCCCGAGGGTATGCATGCTTGCCAGAGAGACAGAAAGTGAGAAACCACCTCCATGGGGCGTAGTCATGCTGCAGCTCCTTCTCCACCATCTCTTTAGAAGTGAGTCCCTGGATGAAAAACAAAGTTAGTGATTACTGATGAGGGGTGAATTTTATATATTAAGGCCTGTTATCAGTGTTATTAATATTAATGAAAATAAAGTCATATGAACAAAATGATATATGTAAATTATGATACAGGTAAAAATAACTTTATAACAGTATCTTAAAATTCTGCGTGATTTTTTTTTTTTAATCACCTGTTTGTTGCATTGCGTTACCTTTGAGTGTCGGGCCTTAGACTGGAGCTATAAGAAAAATAGCTTTTGACTCAACATGTGTGTGTTACCCATTCGTTACGAGAAAAATGAGACTTCAGTGCTTCATTCGTGCAAGTGGAGGCAGTGAGTGTTGTCTGGAGACACTTCGAAGAGCTGCTGTGTGGAAGCGGAGAGGAGATCCAGTACCGAGAATGTGCACTTAGTCTGAATGTGAGCAACGTTTGGTGACTGGAGAATTTCCACCTTCGAGTGCCACCCACTCGCTTCTTAAAAAAGGACCTCTTTCCCGTGCCCGATGCTAAGTGTTGCTCTCCTTTGTCTTGTGTAGATGCTTCTTCCTCAGTAAGATAGAGGAGAAGCTCACCTCTCCGCCAGAGGATCACAGTATGGATGTGGATGGAGATGGGGACTCTGGTGACAGGGTGGACGTGCAGGAGCAGAAAGAAGGTCTCCATTCCCTGATCCAGAGCTGCACGTTCTCCATGAAAATGAAGATGATAGACAGTGCACGGAAGCAGGTTTGCGCCCCTGTGCCTCAGTGTCCTCCCAGCTTAGCTTGTTCCCAACCTAGCTCATCCTTAGTATTGGAAATTTAAAAACAATGGAATGGTTAGTATTTTTTTCTCCTTAGAAGAACATAAACTTGAAAAGAAAACACTTAAAATCATTTCAAAGTTGTTTTAAATCACTTTGAAATGATTATCATCTGTTTGAGAAACACATGAGCCTAGTATCAATTTTAACCTAAACTATTTAACGAAATGAATACTTGCCGGTTACTTACAATTTTTCCCCCCAAGTCTAACTATTTCCAGCTTGATTAAAGATACTTTTCATAAACAATCACGGTAATTCAGGCAGGACATGGGCAGACAGTCGTTAACATGTACAACGACTTTCAAACTCCCTTCTTCGAGGGACTACCAAAATCAGAACATCGCTATAGAACCCGATAAAGTCTTTATTTGATACTCTGAACAGAGAAAGTGTAGAGTGAGGGTTTTCTTTTCACATTAATCATGTCGTTTAACAACTTTTCATGAGCTGACCCTGACTTTCAGAAATGAAAATGGCAGAATTATCCACCTGAAGATCCAACAGTATAGAAAGGGAAGTGCTTCTCTTTTGAAGGAGGCCATCTTAGTTTATTGGAAAGTCCAGATTGCCAGGCATATTGGTAATCAATTTTTTGTGGTCAGGTCACAACAGGTCTCTGATTTCAGGAAGTTAAGTTTATGCTGAAGGCAGTCTCTCAAAACTATCAATAGAGGGGCCAACAGGTGTCATGGTGGTTAAGGCCTTGGACCCCACATGGCCAACTGTAGTTGGAGTCCCAGTCTTGGCCCCGTGAAACTCATGCTGGGTGCGTGTGCGTGCATGCCCAAAATCCTAAGAGGAGAATGGAGGAGAAGGGATTGCGGCATGGCTATCCCCCCGGGGAGTTGATTTCTCACTTTCTCTCTCTTTCTCTCGCACACGAGCACATACGCTCTGTAGCAAAAATCTCTCTTAAAAAAAAACAGAATAACAAAAATTGCTATCAATAGAAGGGAAAGATGTTTATATCAGTCCAGCCTTGTAGACATCCTATTAGGGACAAATTTCCTTTCCATTGAAAACAGCAATGAGAAATGTTCTGTGTACCAACAACAGAGCTTAAAAAAAAAAAAGATAAAACAAAATTCTGCATTTTTATAAACTTTGATAAAAGATAGTACTTCAGGACCAGCAATTGGCATAATGGCAACGTCGTTGGACTTCATGTAGGTGACCACGTTTTGAGTCCCAGACCTGGTGGGTTAAACTCACGCCAGCTGCGTGTGCGTGCGTGCCCAAGATCCCGAGAGAATGGAGGAGAAGGGATTGTGGCGTGGCCATCCCCCCTGGGGCGTGATTTCTTGCTTTCTGTCTCTCTCTCTCTTTCTAGTGAGTGCATGTGCCCTATAGCAAAAACCTTTCCCCCCAAAAAAAGGATAGTACTTCAAACTGTACAGTCACCAGAAGTACATACACTTCACTTGACTTCTCTTTACCTTCAGCTTTCTATGCTGGTCTGTTTTGGTATCTCCATTTTCTGCAAGGTTATTCCATCCTTGGAGCATCAACTTTTCCCTTTTTCCTTAGGGTACCTTCTCTCCCTTCTTTGCAGGGGACTTCTTGGGCTTGGTCTCTGGCTTTGGAAGAGCTGGTTTCACAGATACTCCAGTGGATCCCCTCTGCAGTTCATCCTTCCCGTTGGCTTTATCTCCTTTAGTGTCCCCTTCAGCCTTTCTCTTGGGCAAAGTGGTGATGATGGCAGGGCACAATTGCTAGACCGGGGGTCGCCCTCAACTCTTCACACTACTTTCTTTAGAAATTATTGTTAGGTTTGGTTTGTGAAAAATGTAGTATGGGAACCAGCAGTTAGCTTAATGGCTATGTCGCTGGACTCACACCTAGTCGACCACGGTTCACGTCCAGGAACCGGTGGCTTAGAACTCACGCCGGGCGCGTGTGCATGCGTGCCCAAGATCCCGAGAGGAGAATGGAGGAGAAGGGATTGTGGCATGACCATCCCCCCTGGGGGTGATTTCTCGCTTTCTGTCTCTATGTCTCTCTCTGTCTGTCTGTCTGTCTGGCGAGCGCACGCACCCTATAGCAAAAACCTCTCAAAAAAAAAGAAAGAAAAATGTAGTACTTAATAATAAGACTCTTTTCATTGTAAGAGTCTTTTTCATAGAGTACTTTGTTTAGAAGTTACATATAATTGAGACCAGCAGTTAACGTAATGGCTATGTCACTGGACTCCCATGTAGCCGATCGTGGTTCGAGTCTCAGACCCGGTGGCTTAAACTCACGCTGGGCATATGTGCGTGCATGCCCAAGATCCCAAGAGGAGAATGGAGGAGAAGGGATTGCGGCATGACCATCCCCACTGGG